GTATGTCGCCACCGCCGTCGAAGGTCACCGTCCTCGTCGGGGCTGGTCGATCTTGCAGTTTGCCGCCGGATCTCCCTCAAAAAACCCTAATTGTTCCTCCTCAAATCGGACCTCGCAGCAGGTAACTCATGTTTTAATCTTATTCTCATGTTTTAATATCCAAGTAAGTTTGATATATTAAAAAACATGGTTGAGCAATTTTTGAAGCTTGTGCGAGTTACCTGGTGCTAATGGATTTTATGAGTCATTCAAAATGAGAATAAGATCTGTGGATGATGGTAAGGTTGAGTATTTTGTTGGCCCATATGATTTCAAAGTATGCATGGCTTCACCCGAGAGATCTTGAGCAGTGGGGACTGATGTAGCTATTTGGTGTTCTAAACCATTTTCAAGTTTCACCAATGGTCATGTTAGCTCATTTCTTTGTCTCGAGGAGGTTGCCATAACACCAGAAGTGACTTCAAGGGCTGTTTGTAGGAAGATTATTAGTGAGCTTGTGAACATTTATAAGGACTACCTGCCTTACAGCAGCCTATGATGGCAGGAAAGCTCTTTGCACTGCTGGAGCTTTGCCCTTTACATTTCAGCAATTTTAAGATTATATTATAGCTGAAAAGGAGCAGTGAGGGAATACCTATGTTGTGTTGCTTATTGCTGTTAGCATTGTAGTTTTTCTTGTTATGCTTATGTTTGCTATTCTGATGCTTTGCCCTTTACATTTCAGCAGTTTTAAGATTATATTATAGCTGAAAAGGAGCAGTGAGGGAATACCTTTGTTGTGTTGCTTGTTGCTGTTAGCATTGCAGTTTTACTTGTTATGCTCATGTTTGCTATTCTAATGCTCAGTGGCGACAAGGAATTTGGTGTTGCCATCAAATATGCCGGACATGCTGATCTCCATCATCTTCAGCAGTTCCTGCATGGGAGGCAGTTGGATGCCCCACAAGAACAATGCAAGTGCTGGACATTGTTCTTGCGGAGAATCCCTTACAGAAGTAATGATGTTGTAACCATATAAATCATAGTCATGGTTGATAGTTTGCTGTGCTCATGTTTAACCACTGTTTATCTTGTGCTTTTTCTCAGTTATGTCATGGTAGCAAGAGCCTTTTTCTCTAAGAAATTAGAACCAACAGAAGATATCGGTGATGGATTAAAATGTTGGAGATGTTACTGCCAGTCCTTTCGTCCTATGCAGATGGGGTTCTCCTTAAACATAGGTAACATGTGGAAATTTATCTTAAATTGGTCCTATTTCCCTCCTTTTCTGATTGCAAATTTGCAATTAGCGTAGCTTGCCACATGTTTAATCTGTAGATATTGCTGCGGATTATTTTTACAAGTCTATCCCAGTTATAGACTTTGCTGCGGAGTGCCTAAACATTTGATATGCATCGCGTACCTTGACAGAGAAATAACGTATTGCTGTATGTTTTGTATCTTTTACTTGTCTTGATGATTAACCTCTTTTATTTTCATTGTCATTGGAAAGCTTCTTTCTTAATATCTCTAGGTTAAAACTTGTTTATGTAGGATTTATATATTTTTTATTCATATTTTTTAATGTCAAATTACCATTGAAGAAAGCCCTCTGAGGAATTCGAGTGAAGTTACTCACCGGAAATATTGACGCATGTGCTACAAGATTAATGTTTTATCATGAGCCCTTAGGCCAATTGATGTAACACTTCCCATTTTCTTTCTAGATATATATTTATCTTAAGTTGTATACCTTCTGTCTTCTTCATGTTTTTCTACATCATGTTTATGATTTTTCTGCTCGAAGAAACTGAATGAGAGGCAAGTTACTGAAATACTGTGATGTAAAACGAAACAGGGGGTCTATCAGAATCAGAGATCTAATTTAAACAACGCACCGTTTCACCAAAATTCATAATATTCGGTAGAAAATTAATTTTAAAACAATTAATGTGACTGATGGATTTTAACAAGATTTGCAATGATAGTCATAAACAATCACAATCTCGAATAATTTAATTACAATATTCATTATCATTGCACAAGTTTTACAAACAATATTAATTTTTCAACAGTCACAAGTTCAGTTACTCTTAACTCACAATATAATCTAAGCAGCGAATATATGATAATAATTTAGAGATAAAATATTCATGCAATTAACTAACAAGATGAGCTTAACAGAAAATATTGAGCGAGCGAAACAAAACCTTCATCGAGAACTACTTGTCAATGCTCAAACTGGGAGTGTAAGAATACTCGGGGAGCTCCAGTGAACGCAAAGGTGAAACAATTCCCCGATTTGATGGACTCCTTTCTTTAAACACTGTGAAAAGATTCTCTAACAAAATGGATAAATGGAGGGCCTGCTTGCGGTGGATTGAGTGGGCTTTTCAATTAGTTTGGGTCTTTCAAGATTGAGCTCAGATTTGTCCATGCTAAGGAACGAAAGAAAGAAAAAAAAATAATTCAAGAGAAATCATTCTTCATGGGCTAAAGGTGTTAGGGCTGGGGATGGGGACGTGGGCAAAGGGGAAGAGTGTGGCTGCTGACGGGACGGAGTCGCTTGAGGATGAGAACAGGAGTGGAGACGGGCGGAGAAGCGTGGGTGGAGACGGCACTGCTCGCGGCTGTCCGGCTCTTGAGAGACAACAGGGGAGAGGCGGCGCGCTGCTAGAGACGAGGACGACTGGTGGGGAGGAAGCAGCGGGTGGAGATCGCGTCGCGATTTTGGGAGCGGCGTGCAAGGTTCAGGTCGCGGCGGCGTGATGGCTCAGGGCGAAAAAACGCGCTGGTGGCGGGCTTTGTGTGCGCGATGGCGTGGGTGGTGTTTGGAGAAGGAACGCATTTGCTTTGTGGCTGAGAAGGGGAGGAGTGATGAGATGGCTGCTGTGGTGATTGGGGAAGAAAAGAAAGTTACGTTTGGCTTATTTTAGCTGAAGAGGAGGAGTTGGCCGGTGCGGCTGGAGAAGAAACGAAAAATTGCTAGGGTTTCACACCTCAATTAAGCAAATAATTTTTATTTCATTCTTCATTAATTTTATTTGATTACAAGAGGTCTTAAATAAAAGAGAAAATACAAATCTCTCATAATCACTCAAATCCCTCAAATCTCTCTCATAATCAAATACAATCAATTAACTACCAAATAAAAAATCAAAAATCGAAATTCAAAATTTAAAATTCAAAATTTAAAATCCTATCAAAAAATAGAAAATCGCTAAATAAAGAAACTGTTATTCTTGTCCTCATCATACTGAGTGCAACATGTCAATGCCGGGCAAAAGAGAGGAGTATGTGGGATGCCAGATCCTTTGGCTATAGTGGTATACGGGGATGCTTTTTTATTCCTTGTTCTTTGTTAAATTATGGAACTTTATCTTACATGTGCCTCTGTTGAAGCAAGAGTCATTCCTCCACCATTGGCAATTATTTGACCTGCAATTGTTTTGTTAGGTAGCAAGTGAAAATATTAATTTGTTAGTTTTTTTTTTGTGCATGTTTCAGCTGAAGTACCATGATTCTGGAAAAGAGAAGACATGCAATCGAAGAGTGGGGGCATTGAATATGATTAATAAGGTAGAATTCTCCTCATTATTGAGAACCAGTGAGATTCCTTCTTCTATGTTTCAGGATGGTTTATAATTGTAGAAGATTTCTTTGTTTTTAAACTACCTGGTGAAAGTCATTGTTTGGTTACTAGATGGTTAATTGTATATTAAAGTCGTTCTCCTATCATAAAAATATTAATTTCTAGCTTTTCAATTGTTTTGTTTTTATTGTCTTTTCTGTGTACAATGCAGTAGTAAGTTTCTTTTTCCCTTAACAATATCTTTGTTCAATGATGACATTATATATATGTATACACACCCAGAGAAAATGGTTAATGGCTGAAAAATTGATAGTTGGGCATGCATTAGTTTTTCCCGCAATCTCCATCCTGATGCAGCATCAACTGGTTCTGCCAAAGTCTGTTTGGTGTTCGTAATAACTTTGCAAAGGTACTGTGCAATTATTTCTTTCTTTATTGACTTTATTACTATTCATGTAGGTGCTTTGCTCAATTTGCTATGTATTTCTAGTCTATTGCGTCTGACCCACCAATCAAAGTCCTCCATGAACATGCCAATAACGCGGAGGGAGCTCTAAGAACCATGCATGCTTAGGCGATTACCGCGTTGAGAGGAGGAACCCTACAGTTGCTACTTATCATTCTTCTAGAAATAAGTGGGTCTTATGTTATGTATAACTAATTCTTTTCTACTTTTAAGGTTAATTTTTAGTGTGGCAACTTTATTTATTGGTATTATGTTTCTCATAGCTACAATCAAGCGTGTTTGTGAAACTGAACTTGGGCTCGTATCACAATGTCACTTAGCTAAACATGTTCAGGAGAGCAAGGCACAATATATGGAAAATGTGGCTTTGAAAATTAATGTGAAGGTCTGTGTTTCTGAAGGTCCGTGTTTCTGTGTTCTTAAGCTTCCACATTGATCAGGGATGGCCTTTTAATTTGCCTGATTGCTTCTTGATCAGGTCGGAGATCGTAACACTGTTCTGTCAGATGCCCCTTATAAGCTGGTTGCAGTTGTATCTGATAAGGGGCTGTTTGGTTGGCATTTTTTGCTCTTGTAAAGCTGCCAAAACTGATAAAAGCTGTCAGTTTTGGCAGCTTTACTTGCAAAAACGCAGCTGTCAGTTTTGGCAGCTTTACAAGGGCAAAAAATGCCAACCAAACAGCCCCTAAACCATCATGTATTGTTGTCAGTTTTGGCAGCTTTACAAGGGCAAAAAATGCCAACCAAACAGCCCCTAAACCATCATGTATTGTGCTATAATGTTTGCTGATTACTGTACATGTTTAATCGGTACAAAAAACGTGGCTTTCAAATAACTCAAGAATTCCAAGACAACTTCCAGACACTGAAGGTATATTATGCTTGCAGTCCATTAATGCTTTCATCAACATGATCCTTAAAATTTCCGATCCAAGATCATTGTAATAGAGGTGTATTAAAACTGCAGGAACTGAGGAGGCCCCTTCAAAAGCCGGTCCTGGATCTGATTACGATTCAAAAGATGGATTTCCACCTTTGGAAGAGAACTTCAACCACTTCACGTTGGAGGACAGCAAAGAAAGTGAAGAAGAGGATGAATAAGGAATCCTTTCTTCTTACAGTTCATGAATAAAGGAACAGGGAACATTCGGTATTATACTTCACCAAAGCTCCACTGTGTTTTATAGTGTGTTTTGTTGTCTACATAGAAGAATGATAGCTTGTTATAGTTGCTGGTTTAAATTATGTACTTAGAGGTTGTGAATCTTGTCACAAAGCATTTGGATGTATTGTAGAACCCAGTTTTGATTAAAGCTTATGAATACAAATGTTATATTTTGTCACACTTTTCGTGTGTGTATGCATTGTGTTTTTGTCTCTATTAAGAGTGATTAATCTTGAACATAATTAAATTTTTATAAAAAAAATTAGGTACTTGCCCCAACGGTTGTACCCGTTGGGGCTAATTAAGACCCCAACGATTACCACAATTGGGACTGATTAAGGCCCCAACGGTTCCAACCGTTGGGGCGTTTTTTCTATTTTTTTAAATTAAAAAATGAAAATTTCTTGCCCCAACGGTTGTAATCGTTGGGGCAAGTTTTTCAACTGTTGGGGTAAAGTCAGTCCCAACGCGATTTGTCCTAACGGGCGTTTTAGCAGCCCTAACGGTTGTAACCGTTGGGGACACGCTCAGCCCCAACCCCAACGATTGTAACCGTTGGGGCTGCTACAGTTTGTAGTAGTGGTTGAGAGTTGGGATTCTGTCAACCAGGAAGATAAGTGGTTCTTCTATAACAAAGAGGAAGAAAAAGTAGTAGATAAGTATATTTCTTCAGTAAGGTAGACAAAATCATCCCAATTTCATGTGCTTTTTCAATATTTGCCTATAATTCATTAGTTACGTTTGTTATTAACAAACGCTTAAATTTTTTCTAAAAAATGTGCAGCTTATTTTATAGAACATGATGTATAAATGTTTATATCTACATTTGTTCATCTTCGAGAAAGCATTGCCAACTTTAGATGTTGCCATTACAGCACATGGTAGATTTTCTAATGACAACCACTCTGTCCATCTTGATCCCACAAAACTTGTTAACATTTATTAAAGATTTAACTCACGGTGATGATAGGTGATACTTGATCTGCTTCTTTTTTTTTGTTTCCTTATTAAACATTAGTTTTAACATTAGTGGTGCTTATTTTGAAAAGTTCCTCCAGTGCAACTATGTTGCGTGGAGTTCTTAGCAAAGAAAAGCTTCAGAAGAGAGGTTTTCTTCACCCATTATTTTCGTTTTGACATGGCTCTGAATGATGTAAATAGTAATTATGACAGGAAGAGATGGTGGGAATGTGACTAAGGCTAAACTTTGCTTCTTCTAACTAGTATCACGATCATGTAAAGAATGTAGTTTATATTTAAAGTCCAGTTATTGAGGCCTGTGAAGGACGCATTTTTCTTGTATAATAATGTTTCTGATGCCTAAGAAAATTATTAACTAATTTTAATCATTTTTCATGAGCATATTGTGCTATATCTTTTCCAATGCTTGCCTGCTGGAATTTTTTTACCAGTCATTTAATTTCTAGCTGTGGGATCACGAACAAATTTACTGTTTTGGTTCAGGAATAGTGCAACCATCAGGCACAGATCTGATGAAGTTGAAGGGACAAAGTCTGACTCGCATGACAGTCGAGGATCTAAAGATTGCTTACCTCAATGTATAATATGAGTCTCATCTGTTGTTTTCTTGATCAGAAGAATTGGTTTGAAATTATATTCAATATTATTGTCAATATGATTTTGACATGTCATTTGTAGAGGATTTTACTCATGGAAGAAAATGATAAAGCTTGCAACAATGTTTTTGGAAAGATGGGAAACTCTCCCCCCGATCTGAGAGGGGAGACGGTGAGCTGAAAAGAAATTGCTTCTAAGATATTACAGAGGACTGGAGAGATTCTAGAAAGTGGATCCTATAGTGGTGTATTGTTCTTTTACTCTCAACTACGATAAGCAATGAACTGTAAGGTCAAGAATGTGAAATTGCTGGTAACATGCTTTTAATAATTCAAATTGTACGTGAAGTTGCTTCAAATCTAATATAGTCAATAATTTGATTTCTTTCATGTTCAGGAGAATGTAGCTGAGCAGGTTTCCATCGCTATATGAGAGTCTTGGGTGAGGTCAGAATTTCTTCCTCATATATTTTATCCATCGAGTTATAGGTTCAAGCACTAACAAGTCCTAAACATCCTTCCATACACAATATCTGTCTTCACAGCCGAATGATATAGTTTTAGCTTATCTGGATTGCATGCAAAGGGTGACAACCTTGTGGATGACATTCATAACCATACCAGATGAGGATGTTGACCTTCATCAGTGATTTCGTTGATCTTCTTCATCCGGATCAAATGCGTATTATTCTGCAGGGTTACATGACACAAGTCGGATCTGGTTCTGGCATGGGATCAAGCAGCGCACAGGTATACGTATGCACATACATGCGCACATATTCTACATATACACATACATATTCACAAATATACACAGCACTTATCAGGTGCACATATACAAACATATGCATACATCACTTAATCATGTATACATGCAAATATCAAGTATCGTGCACATATATACACACAAGCACTTATCATGTATGATTGGCTATACACACATATTTGCCAATATATGTTTCTGACATAAATTTTATTACTTCTTATGCTATAGTTGGGGAAAGGATCAACTGTGTACAACCCAAGGTGGAATAATTCGCATGTGAAGTTGAGTAGTGAGCATGTATTCGTTAATGTGTATTTGAACTGTGGATGTGTTCTATATGTATGTTCATATCTGAGTTTTGACTTGTTATATTGACTTTTGTTTTTATTGTGGAACGAGAATGTATTTTCAATTGGATCCGTTGTCATATGCATTGGGAATTCTGGATTTGATGTATGTGGATATATATTATAAATGTATGCACAAAATCAGTTTATTTTATCTTTTAGAAGGAAAGTAATATAATGTGGTAATATTCTTTTACAGTGTTATGTTAAAAATTATTTCCAGAAACACTGCAAACGGAAATTTCCGTTTCCGTTTGGACTACTTTTGTTAAAAATATGTCCACTGCTTATTCTTTGTTTTTTCACGAGTCTTGAAATGCGGCCATTCCTTCGTGAACCGCCGACCCCTTGCTCACGTGTGAAAACAACGATGACCCCTAGAACCTCGTAAAGAGGTGGCAATAAAATTTATTTTCCTTAAATACTTAGAATAAATGTTTGCATTAATATTTATCAATTTTATTTATTTATTTATTTATTTGAATTGATTTGAGAGCAGATAGCTTTTGGACCACCCACAAAAAATAAGAGTATTGGATAATTTGTCATGCGTTAATGACTTTC